TCAAGTGCTTGAGCTCCAGATTCGGGATGTTGTCGAAACCTGGGGCCTTCATGTTTTTGGAAGTTTTGATATAAGCCAACAGTTCATCAGCTGTGATCTCGGATTCCTCGGGAACGATGTTAGGAACCTGGTGGAGATTTGTTACATTTTCAGCAACCTCAGCTGCGTGAGAGCTGGTGATGTTTTGTCCGAGATTGTGAGAGCAGACGAAATGTTGACCTATCGCGGCAGCCTTCTCTTCAGGTGTTATCAGGTGAACCACTGAACCATCGGGACAATTCAGTGGAACCAGCGGTGGAATAGGCCTCGGTTTAGTTTTGAGGACTTTTGTTAGTTTCCAAAAGGGTTTTGCACAATCTGGGAGGGAACGGATGTTATTGGTCAAATTCTCATTTCTGAGTTCCACCATATTGGCTTTGATAAGTTTGGTTAGACGGTTGGAATGGGTCTTCAAGGTAGGCAGTCCAGTTCTTTGGAACTGCCTACGCATGGCATTACGGAGTCTGATTAGGCTTTTAGTATTCTGATCAAGGTTCAGAGAATTACTCTCTCGTCTGGAAGCTGGCACGTGTTGTTCGCGAGCTCGGGATACCGCCTCCTCGACGGCGCACAGAGATCTATCGATGTCTCCAGTACCCGAGCAAAGTCAGTAAACAAAATGAAAGCAAATCGATATTAAAGTTTGCAGTTCCTATCATAATGAAAACTCGTTTTGATTTCAATTGTCGCGACAGAAGTCTGATATCATATGGTGCTTTCATTATGCAGTCAAGACTTTTTAAATCAAAGCAACTTAACTTGAAATTCTGCTGTTAATTTCTTGTTTAAAATTTGATTTAATTTCATCTGTCGTTGAACTAATGATTATTGTTTATTTGTTTTGTTTAACACATTTTAGGTCATTCGTGACTAGCCCGAGGTGACATTTGAGCTCAAATCTTTCAGCGTGAGAAGCATGGATGCTAACCATTTACGATAGGCCCGTATTCAGTCAAATATTATGAATGCAAACAGGGTTGCTTCCACTCAGTTGCTATAAAAAAAATGATTTTCTGAATTTTGAAATCATTCGATGTTATAATGATATTTTGTGCTTGTTAGATACAAGAAGAGGATCAAAGGCAAGTGTTTGACTCATAAAACCTGTCAATTTTGCTACCACAGTGTTACAATAAGCGATTTTATGATTCGTGAGCGTTCACTCAGAGTGAGCGCTCGCGAGTCGTAAAATCGCTAATTGTGACTATCTGAAAGCAAATTTGACAGGTTTCATACGTCAAACACTTGCATTTCAACCTCTTCTTGTATCTCACAAGTACAAAATATCATTATAACATCTAATGATTCCAAAATTCAGAAAATCGTGTTTTTATAGCAAGTGAGTGGAAGCAAGCCTGAATTCAAAATCAGTAATCAAATTGATTTCATTGAAAGCAGAATTAGTTTTCCGTTTGATTCAACAGTGTAAAATTGTGCTCTCATTTTTGCTGTGTTAACCGTTAAGTCAACCAAAATTAGATCAAATGGAGTATTCAAAATGAGTTACATCATAACATCAAATTCTGATTTCAATTTGATCTCTAACTTTGCTCGGGTAGGGCGCCGAAATTGTAGCTGCATCGACGACTTGTTGGAACCGATACTAGCTTAATCGATGGTAATTCCGACCGGAAGTATGAAATCGATTAACGGAGGAGCCCACTTCGGTCACCACCGGAAAGTGGTCCGAGCTTAACTCTTGGTGGGCTACTGGTTGGGAGATGTTCTCCATGTTGCTGACGAAGATGTTGATGATGGAGTGCACGCCGAACCGGCTCAATCGGGTGGGAGCGTCCGGCTCCAGGATGGTGTACTGTGCCACTTGCAGGTCGTCGTTTAGGATGGTGCCGTTCTGATACCGCCTTTGGTTACCCTAAGCTTGATGTTTGGCGTTCAGGTCGCCAGCGATGATGAACTTTCCACGGCATCGTGTCATCTTGATAATATCCCTCCGCAGGTCTGCCACGGATCCATCCTTGGCATTGGCTTGTTTCGAGGCTGCAATGATGGTGACGGGGCCGACAGGTGTGGAGACTTCTACTTCCAATGTTTCAATAATTTTCAGCTGAAAACTGGGTAGCAGCCGGCAGCAGGTGTTGTTCCTGGTAGCGACGGCTACTCCACAACCCCCAGAGCTTGTTGAATCCAGGAAGAAAAACGACTATCTTCGGTTTCAGGTGAGTTTTGGTAATAATGGTGATTTCGATGCTATGTTCGTTGAGGTCAACGAACTCGATAATTTTGCTTCAGTTTGCGATTTTGATGAGCTCACGGTCCATAACTGAGCATGAAGGTAGCCACAGCTTGGAGCTTATCAGATTTGTTCTTGATGGTGTTGGAAATGTCGTGCATGTAGGAAGATGATCATTAGTTCCGCTGCGGTGAACCACGCTGGTCACAGTACTTCACGGCCTTGTTATGGCGGACCATCTTGTGAATTTGGGCCGGCTTCAGCCATTAGTCACCAGCTCTTCCAAGAGGACGCTTGTACTCCACCTGTGCTTGGTCCAACATGGTCTGAACCGCGTTGTAATGGTTCAACGCAGGAACCATCAATTTGTATCCTTCCGTGTACACCTGATGGTGGATGGTGCATCGGACGCCCTTCGTGATGAAGAAGTTTACCACTTTTCAATGGTGTCTTTTAAAAAAAAAATTATCAGTCAAAAGCATTGCTGTTGATGCTTAGAAATATTTCTGATCGATTGGTGATAAAATTATTGAAATTGGTTCAGGGGCAACTGAGTTATTAATGTTCAAAATCTTTCATAATTTTGTTACAAGTTCCATATTAATTAAAATTAAATTCAATGAACCATACAGGAAGCTCCTCCAAGCAAAACACGCTTATCGTGGTAACACACAACATTTAACAACAAACGGTAGACTGCTTTACCCTTGAAAAAGGCCACAATAAATGTCCGAAACGATGGGCAATGCATAACTGACCGTTTGAATTACCCTAGACTGAGAAAGTCATAAAAAATAAATCCTTGAATTAGTTTTTATTCAAACATTGTACCTCAATTAAAACGAACCGCTCTAACGACATCTCTCGAGCTTCTCGCGGAATACAAGGTAGCTCGCAAAGTTGCAAATAGTGTTACGTGCGTCAAAGTGATCCTATGCCAGCGGTGAGTAGTTTGCGGAAATGATAATATTCAAATCAATCGTTAAATGCGTGCATGATGTTTGTATGTGCTTTTTTTGTTTCTACGTTCACTACTTTCACAGTGGGTCGTATGAATAAAAGGTAGTAAACTCATTCATCTACTCGAAAGGAAAATCTGCAGATAGAGTAAGTTTTGTTTTCGAACATGTAATAAATACTGCATTCAGAAATCTGAATGTAGTATTTACTACACACCCATGAGCTGTCAAAGCAAGAAAGTAAATCAAAATATAGAATATAAATTTGCATCTTTTATTTTCCTGGTGATTTTGGCCAAATTTTGAATTGGTTTCGGTTGACTGGAAGCCAAAATAAATCTTAAATCGTGTTTTCCGACAAGTTCACGAAGAAGGCCATGTTTTGGAAAGTGATTTGCAATTGTGGCCTGAAATAGAACGAATCCTCGACGATGACATCCCAAGTTTACATTGAAGAATGTCTGAAAAAGCGTGTATTGCCGTTCATCCGCAAGCATAGGGGCAATGTCATCTTTTGACCCGATTTGACCAGCTGCCGCTACTCCAAGGTGGTTCTAGAGTGGTACCCAAGCAACCATAGGCACGTTATTTCGCCTTTTTGGCTATATACGGCTCAACAATGGCTATACCAGTGTTTGTAAGTTCTGATGAGGCCCTTTTATAGCCAAAAAGGCGAAATAACGTGCCTATGGATACTTGCGTACGCTGCCAACAAGATCGATTTTGTCCCCAGGCTAATGAATCCGAATTGCCCGGAATTTCGACCAATCGAAAAATACTGGGCAACTTCAAAGCAACGACTTTGACGAAGCGGCGGGGCTGTCAAGGATATCCAGTAAATGTGGGCAAAATGGAAGAAATGCGCTGATTCCGTGTCTGTTTCCACTGTGCGGGCGCAGATGGGCTCCGCCAAGAGGAAGGTTCGAGATTTCGTTCGAACTGGAGATGCTCAGGTCTTTTTGTGCGTACCAATTTACTTTTAGTCAGCCTCTAGAAGCGTGTTACCTCTAAATATTTTTTTCATGCATGTAGCTATTGTAGAGGCGAGCAAGTCAACATTCCGAAAAAAAGCAACTATTGTCCACGAAGGGGAAGAGGGGGTCTAAAACTTTTCATAACCAGTTCACGTGGAATGTGTCTAATTAAATCTTCATCGTGTAATTTTGAGTTTAATTTTTTTAACAGTAAATTTGTTATCAAAATTACACGAACTATCGTGAAATTCATACGAATTTTTCGTACGGTGTACTAGAGAGGGTTTGGGATAAGAAAGGTGTGGACAGGCTGGTTTTGAACCAAACGAACTGTCAAAGTCAGTGCTAATCGAGCAGCGCTTATCCAAATTGCATTGTCAGTGTTGCTAGCAACTGCCTAGACATAGGTTGCCAAGGCAGTTTATTTTGAATCCGCTCCTCTCTTATCTTAGGCCTTCACCAATCTATCCTACAGTTTGAATGAACCATGCCTATAATAAACTCTTCTTTTAGGATAGAAATATTATTCTTCCGCATCAAAAGCTGAAATCCAATTCAAATCAATATTTGACTCAGGTAAGTTTCCGCTAAAACAGTTCCGTTTTTTTTCATTAATTATGAACCTTGAACCACAAATGAAAAAATCGATTATTAAGTATCCCCTAATTAGTTTTTACCAAATGTATTTCTAATTGAATTGGTTCCAACTGACTGAAAAGACGTGCGAAAATCAATCAAGCCTAATGAATCATGTGCGTGGGTAAAGCGCAAATGGAACCGGTCATTAATGGCTCACGAAACCACGATGGATCATCTCATCCGCTATTCTAAACTTACCCTTGATGGTGCGGGAGAATGTGCAGCAGCGACTGCGGTAGATTTGGGTGATTTGCGTACTGCTGCTGTTGTTGCTGTGGCTGCGGTTGTTGCTGGAATTGCTGCGATTGAGCTTGCACGTAGACATACTGCGGTTGTGGTGTTAGCAGAGTTTGTGCTGGAGCACTTCCTCCGATGCTGGGCTGGAGTAACGATTGCCGCGAGGGAACCGTGTAGGTCGAGTGATCCTCATGAACCTGCGGAACTTTCTGCTGGTATTGAGGGACGTATTCTAAAATTTGATTGAAAGCTAATAAATTTGATTTGCAGGTACATAGTTTGTTAGAGGTTAGGTACCTTTGGCATAGCTGGATGGACCGGACGGGATCGGCGTCACGTAGTTTAAACCGGCGTGGGTGGGAGCCGGGACAGGAGCCGGTGCGGAAGGTGGGAGCAGATAGTTGAATCCGGCATGGCTCGTTGCGCCTCCCGGGTGGTGTTCGATTTGAACCGAGTAGTGGTTGGTACCGTGAGAGGATGCCGCTCGGGCGGGTTGTGAGGAATAGGCTTCCTTTTTGAATGCCTGGTGTCGTTCGCTTTTCAAGTTGTCTCGTTCGATATCTTCCAGGTTGGTTGGCCGGTAGGGAGTGACTTCCGGTTCTGCTGAAGTCAACTGCTGACACACGCAGGACCATATCACGATGCCGATGAGGTACTGTAATGGGAAAATTGAAATAATGAATTCTTGTTATATTGACCTGCAGGTTTAAAATACTGAATTGCCAAGGCAGGAACAATGTAAAAACACGTAGATATAAATCATAACAATGAGGGCTGGTAAGTTACTGTAGTAGATTGAGCACCTAGGTTAAAATGAAATAAAATTTTATTTGAATTTACAGTACCCGTTCGGTTTTAGCACGGTTCGATTCAGCATCGTGCCAACATCGAACGGATCTTGAAAATAATGTATTTTTTTTTCTTTGTGACTACAGTTTTTAATAAATGATTAATTATTAATAACGTCTATGTCATATGGATGACTCACGGTGGTCCAAAATCAACGAAATCATAAATTAAATTTTAAAATAAATCCGTTCGATTTAGCCAAAATCGAATTAATGCTGTAGAACAAATCAAGCTGATCATTGCATTAGGTCCTAAGTGACATTGACAGATTCTCTTCGTCAACTTTCTCTTTGTATCCCCACGCCCATTTTAAGACATTCCCAGGTATTTTCAGCACACAGATCGAGAAAAGAAGCTTTTATCTAGCATCTAATGCGACAAACACAACAAGAAACGGTTATGTACTCAATTTTTTAACGAAAGAGAAGGTCGACGAAGAGAATCGATCAATGTTAGGGGGCGACCCCGGCGTAGTGGTTAACATCCATACCTCTCACGCCAAAGTCACGAGTTCAAATCTCTCCCCGGACAAGTCACGAATGACCCAAGAGTGTTTAAGTGACCATTATTAATAAAAAAAAAAAAAACGATCAATGTTACTTAGGATCTAATGCAATGTTCAGTTTGAAATTAAGAGAAAAAAGGAATGAATTTGATAATAATAATTAATATTCTTCTTCTTCTTCGCATTCCAAGCTTATTGCATATTGCATATAAGCTTATTGCGTGCTCTCAACTTAGTGTTTTAGATGCTTTTCCACAGTTATTAATTGAGAGCTTTCGGTGCCTGTAACATTTTTGCATTTGTATAATTGTGTGACAAGTCCAATCATACTTCTATGCCCAGGGAAGTCGAGAAATTTTAAATCCCGAAAAATTCCTAGACCGAACCTGGAATCGAACCCATCCACCTCCAGCATGGTCTTGCTTTGTAGCTGCACCTTTACCGACTGAGCTAAGGGAGGCCCCAATCAATAACTAAAATTAAATGTTGCGGAAACCCTGACTTTTTCAAGCTTTGTATGCTCTATCTACCATCAAAATGTCGAACATTCTCATGCAACATTATAAAAGATCGTGCAACGAATCACCGTGTGCGAACCGGTTCACGATCAGCTAGTCCGCTTGTTGCATACCGCAAGGCGCTTACCCTATGGAAGCCATTACCAACGACGACCGCTAGAGAGCCTGAGACACCTCCACGCGAAGCTCACGTACCTAGGAGATAACGATCAAGCTCACGATCAACCCAGTGCCACTGACTGGGGCGGCGGAAAATGTTGAAAAGGTAAACAAACAAATCAACACCTTACAGCGCAACGTTCGCATCTTGATCTTTCAAGTACCTACACCAAGCGGACACGCGCTTTTGAACCAGTTTTCAAGACCCTTCGCCTGGCCAGGTCTAGTGGCGATGGTCGACGGTGTCTGCGAGTGTAAACGAACATAGTTTAGATAGCTACTGGCGGTGGGCAACAGTTTAGCATCGATTTAAGATCATGAGGATCGGTTGATTGGCCACGACAGAGCGATGCCATCGGCGGGCAGTTGTCAGAGAAAGTTGAACTAAATTAAATAATACTGTAAAAATGCGGTAATATCGCTGAGTGAGGTAATTTTTTTCTCTCGTCTTGAAGTCGAGTTCGATCCATCCGATGGGGAAGCAGCTGGAAACTGGATGCTGTCGGTGCGTTGATTTTCTTTTTCTTTTGTGGGAGGTTATTTAGTGATCCGGCTGCGGTGAGGCTTTGCTGATTGGGAAGGAAATGGAAAAGTGGTACTTGCTGTGTGCGTAAATAAGTAGGTATCCGATGGTAATGGAAATAGACCTCGCTGAGACATTGCTGTTCGGTGACAACGCGGAAGACGTTAGGCATAACTGGAGCAAACCGTCTACGATCGCGCGGGACTGGGAATGTTTGGATTTTTTTCTCGAGCGGTGATTAATGGAATCTTGCTGAGGAATTATGTCACTCCAACATTTTCCACGGGAAACAAAATGCGCATTAAAGTGAACTTACGACTGAATAAATTTGATACAATGCCAGGTGCTATCGGAAACGGAACGTCCCAGACAACCAGAAGTCGTATAACAATGTACAGCCAGTATCGTTGATTGCTACAGTTTAAGTCACGCATATAAGAATGATATATATGTATCGCATTATGTTTAAGTTAAACCGCACATAATGCAAATTTCCGCGGAATAAATTTGACGGTCACAGACATTTCATCTCATTTATCATTGAAGTAGGTTCATTCGTAATTCCGGAAGCTCGGAATTTGGTTCCGGATTTGTGGAATGGCATAGTAAGCAGGTTGTAAGCAGCGTTGCCAGGTTATTTTCAGAAAAATCAGGACCAGTTAAAATATAAAATCTGGAATGCTCTAAAAAGTCCTGTTTTTAACATAATACCATTGAAATCAAATTGATGTGCCAATCTCCCGTAACAATCGGTCAGTATAATCATATGGAGTTTGTTGAAAGTACCATAATGTACCATATGGCTAAATAAATTATATAAAGCAAATAACTTGTTAGCATCAAAAAGTTAGGAAAAGTATTGGCACAATGTGCCCAAAAAGTTTAAATATCCTTTACACATAATTTCAAATTTGAGTTAAATCGAAGACAACAAATCAAGAAGACTGGCAACTCTTTCATTTTCTCATACGAACGCTATGAGACAGGTACAATCGCGTAATCTGCTGCTCAAAGGTAAATGCTTCGAACAAATTTGATAGCAAAGATTACATCTTTAGAAGAAGAGTTTTGTATTTGCTCACTTTTCTATGCGTTGCTTCCACCTTCACTCAAGCGCAGCGCTATTGTATCTGTCGTTGCCAGTCTTCTTGATTTGTTGTATTCGGTTAAATTTAGGGTAGAATACTGCAGAAAATCTATTTAAACTGAAACTTTTTTTTTTAAGTATGAGAAGCAAAGAATCAAGCAACTTTGATTAAATGGATTTTTTTTTAAATAATAGCCGATGTAGCCGGTACTATTTGATGCAGTACCAGAATATGTCTGAAAGATGTTATTAGTTCTAATTAATTCTAATATTACCCTGAGGCTGGTCAGACTTACTATTTAGTTCTTGACAATATACAACACATAACACCTAGTAGACCAGTTAATTTTATGAAAAATTCACCTGGCTGGAGTGAGAACCGATGGTGGTACTCACGCACATTTTACCTAAACTACGGGTAATTCCACGCGTTGGAGGCGAACCAGCCCAAGGCTGAAAGCCTCCCTAATAATGATAAATTAATTAAATTAATTCCACGCATGACCATTACGAATAATTTTATGCCAAAAAATAATTTATTATATAACTCAAATGAAAGTCTGATTGCGTCATTTTTGAAGTCTCAGGATCTTGAAATAATTCTTAATTCTGAAATTTATATTTTATCATGAAATTTTTTGTTAGTCTGAATTTACGTGGACATTTTTTCAGAGTTCCCTTTGAATCATCATAGAGTTGCATCATACTTCTTTTCTGGAGTCCCTTAAAATAATCTTGATAATCTCCGAACTTTTTCAGCAGCATTCTAGGAGTTCTCAGAAAAACTACGCATTATCTCTTGTTATCTCTTAGATATCATTCTACAATTCCATAATTCCTTCAAACTGGTAATAATTCCCAACAATTCGCATTATTTTGTCCCCATTTTTTCGATGAAATTCCCTTAGAATATTGTTAAAAATTTCACTCTTCAGAATGACCGACACACTCTTTCTTAAAATTTAATTAAAATGCATCTCCCTAGAAACCTTGGACAGAATTTCATTGGAATTATTTTCACGCATCATTGTATTCCTCCCACACACTAAAAAAATCTGAATTTTACTGGTGATGTAAAGATCCATGCATGCAAACATTCATGCATGTAAACTTCCTTTTCACGTAAACTAGCAGCTTGTAAGAAATGTTGCAAACAAAGGTGGAAAGTTGCATACAATATATGGAATATTGCATGACATGTCTCATAAATTTACACGATTTATAATGTAAATTTGTATGATTTATGACGCTCCATTTATGTGCATCATAGTAACGGAAATTTACACTACTTTTTTTTAGCTGTGCAGATTTCCTTACATATGATGCCAGCAATTCCTTGAATTTGCCATCAACGTTCCTTAAGTATCATATTAGTAATTTTCTATGATCTCAGATCAGATCTCCATATAAATTATGACAACTACTGCTTACAATATCCTCGGCCAGAAATGACAGATATCTCATTTAAAATATAGTCGATGTTGGTCTATTTGAATTTACGGAAACTCAGAATCATATTTTCAGATCTCTTAGGAAGTATCATGCATGATTTTATGTTGGGAAAGCTTAATTCTGTTATTGATATTTATTCTAAAAAATCATTGAATATGGTCCATCTTTAGTTCCAAAATCGTGGAAAAATATTTCCGGATTTGAGAAATGGCTTATTGTAAGGAGAAGATTAGTTTTTTTTTTAATTAATTATGCCTTGGAAGTTAAATGGCTCGAAGTAAGGTTAGAGTGATGCTTAAATTAATCATTGTACACCATTGATCTATGGTCCAAAGTATCTTGCGTATTGTATCTTCAATATTGCAGTGCTTGCGAGTGCTCCACACGTCACAAGTCCAGATCTAAGGATCATAAAAATATATTTTGGAATTGTACGTCATGTTCTGCACTAAAATCGCTTAGAACACATTAAAGAGCAACGACAACTGGCCTCAGAGATAGAAGATTTAAAAGTTTAGCAAAAGTTTCTCTATTTTTTCAGTTTCTTTCAACCATCGGCTTT